TTGATCAAATAATTCATTTTTAAGATTTTTCTCTTTAAAAAAAAGCCCATGTGAGATTGTCATAAATATTAATTAAGAAATGTTTCCATTGGTAGCTCTGCCAGGTTAAGTAAGCTAATTAATATTCATGATCCAAACTTTCATCATAAAACAGTCCAGTGTTATATGAGTTGCATGGCCTGCAAACGTACCACAGTGACATGGCATTTAGATGTCAGACCAGCTTTACTTTTTCTCAAATATTTTTGCACAACAATTCTGTTTGAATAAATATTTAATAATGCTGTATTTTGAGAGGCTTATATTGCATTTGCTCTTACAGATAACCCGTGGCGCTGCGACTGTGCTCTGCACTGGCTACGCGGCTGGATAAACGAAGAGGGTCAGAGGCTATTAAGCTCAGCCGAGCGCCGGATGCTGTGCGCCGAACCTCCGCGCCTCTCCCATCTCAGTCTGGTCGAGGTTCCCGCAAACAGCCTCATTTGCATTCCGCCCATAGTGCAACTGGAGCCCAGCCACCTGACGGTGCGTTTGGGGGAGAGTCTACGTGTGTCCTGCCAGGCGTCCGGATACCCGCAGCCTCAAGTCACCTGGAGGAAAGCGTCCCACGGAAAAGCCCAGCTGTCTCCCAGAGGTCTGGTGCAGGAGGTCGGGATGGATGGAGATGCCAAGACCAGAGGGAGGTTAGTGACGGCCAGGCCTGGGGGAAAAGGAGGGTCGGCGAGTCACGGGCCGGTCCGAGGAGGAACCGACGACGGAGGTGACCGGGAAAGCTTCGATCCCGACACGGGAAGTGGGATGCTGTTTCTCAGCAATGTCACGGTGGCGCATGCCGGACGCTACGAATGCGAGGCCTGGAATCCCGGCGGAGTGGCTCGGGTGACTTTTCACCTGTCGGTGAACATGTCTTCATCTTTGTCCCGCTCGGAAATCTGGCCTCGACTGCATTCCTCGTCTTACTATCATCCTTCTTCGGTGGACGTGAGTCAGGAGCCGATTTATGAGCTTGAAAGCATGGACTTCAACGCACTGGGAACCGCGACCCAGACGGCCATCACGGTGGGAATCTCTCTTTTGGCGTTGACGGCGTTGTTGCTTCTCTGCATGATTTACAGTCGCCACCGCCAACGGCAGAAAGAGGAAGGCGGATACGGCGCCAGCAAAGAGGAAAGCATCCTCTACGTCAACGACTACTCCGATGGTCCCACCACGTTCGCTCAACTTGAAGAGTACCGGGACGAACGCGGCCACGAGATGTACGTGTTAAACCGTGCCAAACCGGTGCTGCCTCCCCCGCCATCCTGCAGCCAACAGGGGTCGACGCTAAAGGCCGGTGAGTGCATGCTGACCCCGGGCCGGGCCGTGGGGATCGGACCCCGCAGGGCTCCTGCAGAAGGAGGCGAAGGACCGCCACTTGATCCCGAAGGGTTGTTCATGAACCAGAGCTTGCTGTTTGACACGCAAATCGCTTATGAGATCCACTGCTGAACTGGATCTCTGGATAGACTTCAAGGTTCTTGCCATCGGATGTTATCCTGCTGAAGTTCCTTTCGTTCTGAGAGCACAAATGTATTTATTTTTTGGTGAAAAGCATTGAAGGAATAACAGATTTTAAAGCTGTGGTGTGTAGTTTCAGTGCCACCGAATGGATTTTTGCAAAAAAAAGTCTGAAAGTCAAGGAAGTGGTTGAGTCAGTGTTGCTACACTCTTCAAAATAAAAGTGATACCAAAGAAGAACCATTTTTGGATGCCCAAAAGAACCTGTCAGTGAACAACAGTTTTATAAAATAATTTTTTTCTTGGTGTGAAGAACATTTTAATAATCTAAAGAACCTTTTGAGCAATGGAAAGATTAAAGGTTCTTTATTGGCATCTATGGTTCCATTAAGAACCTTTAACTATCATGGAACATATTCATTCCACAAAAGGTTATTTATAGCGAAAAAAAAAGGTTCTTCAGAGTATTTGAATGTTCTTTACATAAAGAGAAAATTGTTCTTTTAAAAACTGATCACTGAAAGGTTGAACCCAAAACTGGTTCTTCAATTGCATTGCTACAAAAAACACCTTTGGGAACCTTTATTTCTTAAGCGTGTATATTGTGCAGCTTAAACAAGCAGATAAATGTTACAAACATCAATGTTTACTCTCTTTGGGGAAATCAACCTACAAATGGCTAGTTATAATCATCTCTGGGATTGCACACAGCAGCTTTTAGGGAATAGTTAATCCAAAAATTGTTACCATTTGCATTGTTTGCATGATTGTTTTGTTCTGTAGAATCACAAATGGAGATTTTTTTTAAAGCACTAGGATACATTTTAAGGTTATTTTAAAAAAACATATTCCATTTTCCATTCTGCATATTTAACTAGTTCTCATTTGTGTTGCACAGAGGAAAAGTGAAAGCATATGGGTTTGGAAAATTATGTAATTTTTTTTTTTTTGTAATTGGAATAATTTTTAAAACATGTCAAAATGCTTTTGACAGAAAAAATATTGCATTTTTCTACAGCGATAGGGGTGCTAGGGAAAAGAGAGAAAAGATCATTGTAAAGCAAGACTGCAAAAATAGATCAGGAAGAAAATGCAAGTGAGGATACGGTGAGTGAAAAAAGTGTTTCCAAGAGTAGTCCAGGGAAATAATTCATTGGATGTAGGCTAGCATTGAAAAGTTTGAGGTCAGTAAAGACATTTATAATATTACAATAGATTTCCATTTCAGATAAATGCCGTTCTTTTAAATTTTCTATACTTAAAAGAATCCTGAAAAAAAATGTATCACGTTTTTCACAAAAATATGAAGTTTCACAGCTGTTTTCAACATTGATAATTTATATAAATAATTAAATACTTTCTTGACAGAAAATTTACATATTAGAATGATTTCTGAAGCATCATGTGACACTGAAGACTGGAGAATGATGCTGAAAATTCAGCTTTGCATCACAGGAATAAATTACATTTTAAAATATATTTAAATAGCGCACAGTTATTTTAAATTATAATAATAATTCACAATATTATGTCTTTACTGTATTGTTTATAAAAATAAATACAGCCATGTGAGCCCTATGAGACTTTCTTAAAGGGGTCATCGGATGCCCAGTTGATATGATTCTTTAGGGTCTTAATGAAAAGTCTATAACATACTTTGGTTAAAATTTCTCAATGGTAGTCTAAAAAAACACCCTTTTTACCCTGTCAAAATTAGCTCTGTTTTCAGCCAGCTGTTTTTTAGTCCATGTCGCTTTAAATGCTAATGAGCTCTGCTGACCCCGCCCCTCTCTTCCGTGGGGTGACGAGCAGACTGTAAACTTCAGCCGTGAAACTGGCTAATTAGCACATTATTAGGTTCAAACAACTTGTAAAGTGAATTTTGCATCTGATGACCCCTTTAAAAAACAACCCCAAATTTAAAAAAAAAAGTGTAGTTGTGAGAGCTAAATATGTTTCAACAACCCAGTATTCATCACTCACTATGACAGATTATGGTCATTTATATTGCTGCCTCTGTTTGGAACAACATCAAGGTGAATAAATGACTGAAGTTTCATTTTTGCATGAACTGTTCCTTCATTAATGGTGCAGGTTTTTGCTGAAAGCAAATTCTTATGGAATGAGAGCGGTTACCTATACCTTTGAAAGAAGAGGTTACATGAAACTACCAAAAACTGATATTTTTTGTCTTGTTACTGTAAAATGAAGTGATCCAGGCTGAGGGTTTGACCTCTTGGACAGGGACTGAGGACAACAGCAAAGGACATTTGTCAGGACATCCCTGTGTCCAGCGATATGTGTCAGGCAGTGTGAATAGCTTAATGTCGTTCTTCTTGAAAATGCTGTCTACATATTTCAAATATCCTTTCTTTTCCAATGCATTCCTGTGTGTATTTGTGTGTGAACGGCAGGCAGCAGAAGAGAATGAAACCTGCTGTAAACAAGAACCAAAAGCGGGTGGGAAGTTTGTTCACTATCCTGGATACAAATGAAGTAGTCGCATCTATTTCCCGTCTGAAGCTCGTTTGCTCTCCTCTTGACCTCTGTTGGAATAACACTGTGAATAAACAAACAGGACTCTACATTCACAGCTAGCTTTTGTAAGTTATTAGATATGCCAGTTTCTTTCATATAACAGTATTTTTTTTGAGAGTGTGAGTTTTCTTTCCTCTTGGCTTTTTTCATCCCCAGCATTACACGGACTATTGAGTAGTGAAACACATCAGGGTAAACTGTATAAAAGCATTCATTTCAGCTTGTGGGAACATCTCAAGGTGTTGGTTAAGCTTCTGCTCAACATTACAATAGTTTGTGTATTTCTGTCAAATGTCTATCAAATATCAACCTATTTTATCCGAATAAATTATGCCTTTATTTGAGATTTGCTGTGTCAAAAAAAAAAAAAAAAAAGAGTGAAAGTGTGACAGTCACCAGTAAGCTGCATTTGATTCACAACATACAGGGTTATTAAAGTAGAGATACTATTATAGTTTTATAATAATATTTTGAGTAATAATGTTTAAGTTTTTATATTTTTTGTTTTCATTTTAATTTAACTATTAGTCATTTTGTTGTTTGTGTCATAAGTTTAAAATGTCTGTATAGTTTCCATTAATTGTTATTTTAGTTTTAGTCTAGTTATTTTAGTACAGAAATGTTGAGTTGGCAATAAGCTGAAGTGAAAAAAGTTAGTTTCAGTTCATTTTATTTTTTATTGCAAGGAACAGAGTTTGTTTTATGATTTTAGTTACCACACACACACACAGTAATATTACCTTGAATGAGAGCCATGTAGACATTTTATATATTAACATTTATTATATTTTAATTGCAAATCCATTAAAATATTCCTTTATGTATAGATTGAAGTACTTTTTACAACGAAACCTTACACAAACAACAATAAAAATGCTAAAACATATAGCAGCTCAATCAAAAAAAAAAAGTTCTTTATGCAAAGACAAATATTGAGTAATCCAATTTCAAGTCAGCATATTTTTTTCGGGTTTCTCTGAAGTGGTGTAACTAATTGCAAGCTGACCTGAACTCATGTGTCGGTCTCTGATGTGGCAAAGATGTTTCAGTTTTGCTTCTCACATCGACTAAGAATAAAAGTAGAAAAGCAGAAGAAAATGTATCTCTACAAACATGCACACTGTTTTTACAGATGTGGCAAGAATCTTAAGAGTAAAATAATAATCTGACACAACCATGTCCCTGCATGCATGCAACACTTAAGTTCCTCTTTTTCTTTCTCACATGAAATCTTTTGCGGCTTTACAAGAAACTGCGCATGATGTAAAACAGAAAATGCCATTACTTAACATTGTAATATTCATAATGTGAATGGCCAGAGATAATCTGTTATTAGTGAAGTTTCGGAGTGCTGTAGATCACTTCTTCTCGTTCAAGAGGACGGCTCTGAGAAGGATTAAATAAAACACAAGACAGAGTGAGATTAATTTCAATAAGTCAGTGATTTAAAGCATTGAGGCCACTACATTATGCATTTCCACTGATAATGAGATCAAATAGATTACATCATATTCTTGCAAAAGGAAATAGGCTATCTTTTATGTGCATTATTAGCAATGTAATAGTACTTACAATGGAGACCTGGTTTTGAACATGGTCTTCTGCTTTCTTGAAGACCACAGTGTCGTATGCAACAGTCATTGGACCTTCTGCCTGTGAAAGGAGAGAGAAAAAACAACTTTAAAAGATTATTTAGATGGAATAAGTGTTATGCAGTGCACATGCCTGTTAACACCAAGAACTATAATTATATTAACGTCCACACCAACGGACAATAACGTTCTGCAGTTAAGGATTGCCAGGTCTGGGGGGGAAAAATTCACCCAATTGATAATCAAAACTAGGCCAAAACTAGCCTAATCGTATTTTTTTCCTAGGTTTTCCCCTCCGACGAATTTGTTCTTGAGAGATAGCTTTAACCCGTGGCAACAGTCTAAAAGTAGCCCAATTCCACACTAAAACTGCGGACTTGTAACTCTTTAAAGTCCAGTGGATTCTGATTGGTTGTTAATGTTTTTATCATTCTGGAAGTGATTCCACTGTGTTGTTATCTTTGTAATTGTGGTGTGAACGTCTGTATTCTCATTGAATTAGAACGTGATCTTCCGTGGTGAGAACGGGTCTTTAGTCTGACGTGGACATTTTAAGGCCTATAAACACATACCACAGAACAGACGTCAGGTCTTCGTTTGGACAAAGCCCCATCTTAAAATAGGAAGAATCGTATTACAAAACCACAAGAAACCTAAAAAAGTTCCAAAATAATATATAAATGAGAAAAAATAAGTGATATTCACGGGGACTTTTCACCAAGGTAATGTAATGCGACAGTGCAATAACTCCTGTGAAATTGGATTTGAGGCATTAGCAGTGGAATAGTGCTTTGAATTGAATATATAAGTGTTAGAACTGACTGTGTTTTTTAATAAGCCTCCAGATGACTAAAACCAGCATCAGTAACAGAAGCAGCGGCACAGCAGTATAGAGGAGAAAAATCCAGTGCATCTGGTCAGTAGAGTTGCCAGGAGAGCAGTTGCTGTCCTCCGGATCATTGCTTGCTGTTTGGTTTCTGCATATGGAGCTGTTATTAAAAAAATTGAATAATTTGATGGGTTTAAAATGTGAATATAAACCTAATTAAGAAAAGTAGCTTTTTAATCAGTAGGTGTCAAAATATTTTTACCTCTTAACTAAATATGAGATTATGTGTACCCCTGGTTATCTGACTTGATAAATTCAAGATGTACTTACGGAAATAGACCAGCATCATCACTTTCAGCTGAGATCAGAAGACAAAAAGCAAAAGATAATTTTTAAAATGAATATTATATATATATATATATATATATTATAACATACTGTACATATAATGTATATATATATATATATACATATACATATACATATACATATACATACACATATATACACACACACACACTTACACACACTTCAAATATAAATAAATGCATTATGTCTTTTATAAATGAAATGCTTTTTTCGAAACATAACTGGACTTACATGTATTTTTATATTTATCGTCCTTCTGAACAAGGAGTTGAACTGGAACCTGCAGATCTCCCACAGAGCAGAAGTACCAGCCAGAATCAGTCCGTCTCAGTCCAGTCGTCAGCACAGTGAAGGATCTTCCCCCATCATCATCACTGATCTGGACTGATGAATTCTGGGATGTGTCAGTCCTCCCCACTGTGTAACAGCTCTGATCTTTATATCTGCACCTGAAACACTCAAATAAAGGTTTATGTATCAAATATTTTCTGATATTTTTTTTTTATTATATTGCTGTTAAATTGATAATAATAACAATAATAATTGCAGGGAAATGCACATGACTCATTTTTTCCCATATGACAAGAATCAATGTTGCAAACTCGTGGTTACTGAAACATTTATAAAAGTTGTTGAAAGGTTTCTTATGCATGTGAACTTGAAGCAGATTTTCTTTGCGATTAAGTTTTACACAGCCTGATATAAACTGAACCGCACTCTAAATTGGAATATATTTAACACACAGTTCTATTTAATGACCCTGTTGTGTCCTTAGGAAGTAAATCCAACAAAATATACAACGTAACGCAGGGTAGTTTATAAAAACATGTTTTGAGGGTAGAAAGTATTTTCTGTGTCTTACCTGCAGTGTAAAGTAAAACACCAAAGAGAATCGGAGAACGAGCCATGTGACGGTCAGAGTGAGTAAAAGGCAGAACCTGAAATGAACATTTGACTTCCTTCCAGAGAGAAATAAGCAGTTCCAGTTACTGCATTCACTGATGTAATAAAAACTGAAGTCAGCAGAGACCTCACAGACAAATATTGTGCACACACACACACATTGCTAGATCACATCCTTATTGCAGTAATGGTTTGACACAAGAGTATTTGTCTAAATAAACACAAAAATATACAAGGTATCATAAATGTACAAAACAATGGCATGACTAATTAGCTTAGTGACCATTCATAATAAAAAGGGACAGTTATTGTCATATTATAGGCCATGTTTATGTGCTTTATGCATCAAATCTGAACTAGACAGAATATACATTAGTTTTGAGCGGCAAAAAAATAAATCATTCAGTGTGTCCAAATATGAGGATTCATTTTATTTATCAGAGCATTGTATTAACAAGACATGTCCTATAAAAACATGCCCAAGGTTCAAATCCAAAGCAATTCAACAAGCAAAATAAATAATGACAAATGCAAATAGGAGTCATTTGCATAAGAGACTACATACACAAAAGACTGTTGCTTTTAACTATTCAGGTTCATATAAGGGCCATGTGTTCGTTCGGGCATTAAACCGACTCTTAACGGGTAGTTTTTCATGTTGAAGGACAAACTGAAATTTGGGACCCATCAAAATCAAAGTTTCCAGGCTTAAGAAAAGCCAAAATACATAACTCAAGAGATTGGCTCTATGACTCTCAAAACAGAATGAAAAGAAATAAAAACCCAAAAGAACAAAGGGAAGCATTTCCTACAACTTTGCCTTTCCATGCTCTTGTTTTTCAGAAACACACAATACAACTCTTTCAATAAAGCCACACTCATTCCCTCAAAAGACACAGACACAGACACAGACACAGACACAGACACAGACACAGACACAGACACAGACACAGCACAAGCCAACAAAAACTCTTCACACTCTCTGTATCCGCCCCAGGAATCAGAGGTTTTTTTATAGCTTCTAATTAACCTGAAACACCTGCCTCCACTAATTAGCTCAACCCACATCATTAGCCCATTAGAGAGCTGTACGTCCCAAACATCACCAGAAGAGGGAGACAGAGACTCTACAGAGACTGAGTTCTGCAGAAATCCACTGCACCAGATGTGGAGAAATAGACATATTTTTGAGTGTGACCCATAATGACTAATCTTGCAAATGCAATGCCTGATCTTCACAAAACATGGTACACATGTACAACAAGCCTGAAAAACATGCCAAATTTGATGAGTTTCTGCTGCTCAGTGGGCTTTGATCATATTCAATTTGTATAATATATAGTTTTTAAATATCTCAACTCTGTTTTTAAAATGTAATCATTTTGAAGAGATGGCAGTAGATGTTAGCATATAGGGCCATATAAGGTTCAGAAGAGATAGAAATGACTTCTGCAGCAGCCTAATCTGCAGAATCTGCTAAATGTTTATTATTGTACCAAAATAAGAGGGTACATATAAAATGCATGTAAATGTTTATTTCGTACTGACCTGAATAAGATATTTCACAAAAAAGACATTTACATATTAGTCCACAAAAGAAAATATTAGTTGAATTTATAAAAGTGACCCTGTTCAAAAGTTTACATTGATTCTTAATACTTTGTTGTTACCTGAATGATCCACAGCTGTTTTTGTTTTTTTGGGGGGTTTTTTTTGGTTTAGTGATAGTTGTTCATTCATTAGAGTCCATTGTTTGTCCAGAACAGTTAAACTGCCCGCTCTTCTTCAGAAAAATCCTTCAGGTCCCACAAATTCTGTGGTTTTTCAGCATTTTTGTGTATTTGAACCCTTTCCAACAATGACTGTATGATTTCGAGATCCATCTTTTCACACTGAGGACAACTGAGGGACTCATATGCAACTATTACAGAAGATTTAAACGCTCATTGATGCTCCAGAAGCAAAAACGATGCATTAAGAGCCGGGGGGTGTAAACTTTTGTACAAATGTGTAAATTTTTCTTATTTTGCCAAAATAACTTTTTTTTCATTTAGTACTGCCCTTCAGAAGCTACAGAAGATACTTACATGTTTCCCAGAAGACAAAATAAGTGAAATTTACCCTGATTTTCTAATTCAAAGATTTTTCAGCCCCTGGCTCTTATTGCATTGCGTTTCCTTCTGGAGCATCAGTGAGCGTTTGAACCGTCTGTAATAGTTGCATATGAGTCCCTCAGTTGTCCTCAGTCACAGTGTGAAAAGATGGATCTCAAAATCATACAGTGATTGTTGGAAAGGGTTCAAATACACAAAAATGCTGAAAAACCACATAATTTGTGGGACCAGGAGGATTTTTCTGAAGAAGAGTGGGCAGTTAACATGTTCAGGACAAACAAGGGACTCATGAACAACCATCACAAAACAAAAAAACACAGCTGTGGATCATTCAGGTAACAACAAGAATCAAGTGTATGCAAACTTTTGAATGGGGTCATTTTTATAAATTCGAAATAACATTTTGCAGATTCTGCACGTTGTATGCAAACTTTTGACTTCCACTGTAAATACAAATGTATTATAAATAAATTTTCTAACAAAATTCCTTAGAATCTTTTATATAAATTCTTTAAATGAATGTTCTTCAATATTTAAACAGCATTTAAACAAATAGCTTGCATCTCTTAATTTTCTTACAAAATTTCGTATGAACTTCCTTACAAAATTGTCTTAATCTCTTATATATTTTCTTATTGAGCATATATAAACATAACTATTTCTTACAAAATTGTCATAATTTCTTATGCATTGTGTGGCCTTCTTGAGCATCAGTAAATGTTTTCACCTTATGTAATAGTTGTGTATGAGTTTCTCAGTTTTCCTCAGTGTGAAAAGATGGATCTCAAAATCATAGTCACTGCTGGAAAGGGTTCAAATATGCAGAAGATGCTGGAAAACCAAAGAATGTGCAGGAGCTGGAGGATTTTTCTGAAGAACAGCAGGCAGCTGAACTCCTCAGGACAAACAAAGGACTCATGAACAACTATCACAAAATATAAAAACAATGACACATAGTATTAAGATTCAAGGGTATGTAAACTTTTGAATGGGGTCATTTTTATAAATTCAGTTATTATTTTGTCTTGTGGAGTATATGTAAACATCTGTTATGTGAAATAGCTTATTCAGGACAGTACTAAATAAAAAATAACATGCAATTTTCATGATCCCTCTTATTTTGTTTCAATTATTAACATTTTGCACATTCTGCAACGGGTATGTAAACTTATGAGCACGACTGTGTGTGTGTGTGTGAATATATATATATATATGTATATATATTATTATTATTACAAAATACAAATAATTATTAGATGCAAGTATTGCTGCTTCAAGCCAAAGCGCCAGACACTACCAGGACTGGTCTGGTCCAGTTGTTTTCACTGATCAAGTGCAGGTCGTGGTCTGTGGGATAATATATGACCTCTGCAGGAGGACTTGTGTGCCAGTTGAAGGGGAAGCCAAATCATCCTTGACCCAGCTTTTTGCCAATTTTATAATGCCTTTGGATGTCACCTATTATGAGATAAATAAAAGCAGTTAGAATAAAATAAAATTTTCTATTGAATTTAATCATCTATAATAACATCTAATTCCCAAATGTATTATTCTAACACTTGTCCAGAACGTCCTGCTCCAGCTGTTCCTCAGCAGCGGGACAGACTTCAGAAGTTGGTGCCATAATATTATGAATAATGAAATAAATAAGTAAAATATAAGAGTGGCTCTTCATTTAGGGGCACTTTTACATCTTAAAATAAACTTCTCTAAACATTGTGAACGAATTTGTTAAAACTCAAAAAACATATTAACTAATTTGGTTATGACTAGACAGATCATCACCTGATCAAAAACACATAGGATCCTTAAACTGTCACTAATGACAGCATTGTTTTGGGACAGTGAAATCAAATCAACCATTAATCAATACTTCATAATAACATCTCTATGTGATTGTACCATCGGTAAATCTCCAACATGATCCCGTCTCACGCCGGTTCTTCTTCTCAGCCTGAGCCAGGTTGTATTTTGCAGACACAGAGAGCGGGCTTCTTCCAGAAACTCTTCTTCATCTTTTTTCTCCTCTTTCTCTGGCTCCTTTCTCCCTCCATTAATCTCAGCATCAGCAGCCCCAACAGGCGCCTCATCAAGCCAATGAGGATGCTGGTCCTCCGCCGTGTTGGAGGTGTATTTGAGAAGCACACAGGGCTTGTGTACAGACTCCATATCAGTCACTGTTTGTGGTCCTGAACTTAAATTTCCCATGATAAGACCATTCGTCACTCGCTAATAATCGTTTTAAATAGAATTGTAATGTAATAAAGGCATGCACAGAGGTGCAGAATTTCCCCCCCCCAAAAAAAAGTCCCGTGGTCCTGTTTAATAGCAGAATTCCTGTCTGTTTTTGATAAGTTATATATTTTGCTGTATCGTATATATATTAGTATATCGGCCAGGCTGCTTAAAGTTTTTGACACATTAAAGCGATAAAGAAACATTCATGAATGGGAAAATGTGGAAACTGTCCACCAGGTTATTGCTCTGTTGCAGGACAGTAGATGTGATTTTGCAGGACACGTGTGTGTGAGATATATTTTTTAATTAGTTGGAAAGCATATTTGCCATCACATTATAATAAAGTTTCAAATTGCCAAAGCTTTGTTAACTGTGACCGGTTCTGTGCCTGGCACTCAGTTTGCCCAGGTGCAACATAATTTACGGGACCTATTCAGTCTAATGAACAGACTATAGGTAAAAATCACATTTTATACTAAAATAACTTTCCTTAAGTAGCGAGTTTGTTTTCCTTTATTAAACTATGCAAACATTAAATACGTTTTACTGGATTCAGAGCATCTTTAACTGTATTCATCAACTTTTCAGGAGGTGCACAGAATACAAAACATCCAAATAATTCTTGAGAGCAGAATTACGAGTATCCACCTTATTTTGAGACTTCCAATTCACTAGCCGCTATTGGTAGGCCTAAGTAACTAGAAGAATGACAAAGTACAGTAAACGATAAAACTATCTGGCTGTCTTATTATTTATGACGATAGAAAATCTGGATGGGTAAAAATAACTTTGAGAAAATGTCATCATAAGCGTCATTATCTATAAATCATTTCTATAGCGGAGTGCATGAGCATGAGAGGATCTGGTCACTTCTTGCAGTGTCTATTTCTTCCTGTTTCAGAGGAAGGGCAGAACTATCGCCTTAAACCACAAAAACATTAGGAAGTGAGCGAAGTAGCCAGTTTGGAGTCAGCAACCTCACACTCAATGGTTTAAGCCGCTTTGGGGAAGTCGTGGCCTAATGGTTAGAGAGTCGGACTCGTAACCCAAAGGTTGCGGACAGAACAGTGAACCCACAAACACTGAACAAAATGTTACATTCTAGAAGCGTGAAAATGATCAGCACACAAACTGTTATGTGTAACTGTTAGCTTAAGTTTCCATTTTTATTATTGTGTTCAATCATTTTTCCAACTGAGGTAAGGGGTTCATGGGGGTTGGTATAAAATAATTTTGAACAAGCAAATATGATTAACAAAATAACTGATGAATATACTAAATTTAAACTGTCCATGTTTTCAAATATGTTAAACCTCAAAGGATTTCATAACACAATTAATAGCAGTGAAATATCGAAACATTATATCGGAGTATATCCGAGATTTAAAAAAAACCCAGTCTCTTATATTTTCTCAAAAATATGTGAGATTCAAGTACATAAAAACATGCATACTACATACATAAATATATTCTGTTTCTTCAAGTACAGTTTAAAAGCACTGTGGCTGCACCGTTTCCTGTAATGACCGTGAGGAACTTCTGAGCAAAAAATAAAAGAATCTACACAGTTGAATCACAAAAACACAAGTACAGAAGCAACACTTCAAATGATGACACTGACTTCTGCTCCACTTGTTCACCACGTTCACCACATCAGACCGTCAGATCAGTGAAAGTCCATTGAGGGAAAGGAGTCAAATTATTATTTCTGTTCACACATACAACTGCAATCATTTTTATTTAATTTTATATATGCTTGTGTTTGTAATAATGCGAGAAACAGAAATCAAGCAAGTAAACTAAAATTGATTTTTACAGTGAAGAAATTAAACAGACTATATAACAAAATGTAGAATTACATACTGCTAAGAAACAATCCCATTTTCTCAGGAGAAGACTTTTGACAGAGTAGGCTAGTTATGAACTGTGCATTCATTTACAATTATTTTTTGAAATTTCAATAGTCTTGACCCTCACATCTGTTCATATAGGTCCTTTTGAAAATATAATATTAGGTGTTTTAATATAAAATACACACCCCATGAGCAAATTAATTAAAACAAACTTAAGAAAATAAAAAAAGGGTGTGATGACAGTCCTGTTGATTTTGTTTCTCTTGGTCTGTGTTCTTGTGTTGTTCTCACTGTTGCTGTCAGTGTGGACCCACGGTGCTGTATATTATGCTGTATATTGCTCCACCAGCTGAAGACTTCATCGCTTCACTCCCAGGAACATTATCAATAGTACTGTAGGTTATGTCCTTGTTGGGATCCTGCGGAATAAGGGATCGTAATAAAATAATAATAATAATTCAGCGTGACCATACGTCTTGTTTTTCCAGACTTGTCCTGGCTGGGATTTCTAAATTGCCTAAACTTTCTGGGTTTTGGTTTTGTTTTCCTATTGTTTTCATACTTGCTGATGGTAATGACAGATAAGTAGTTTGACCAATAGCGTGCAGGCATTGTACATTAACAACCAATCGTGGCATGCAAGAGGGTGGGATCTATAGAGGCATCAAAGCAAAGCAAATAATGTAGAGAGCACATCAATAAGAAAACAAAGCCAAAACCTGGACATTTTAGGCAATTTAGTAATCCCAGCCAGGGGTCCGTTCTTCATACATCGCTAACTCAATTAGCTGGATTTGATTGTTGACGATTTGGCATGATCTTGGATTGTTTGGTTCTTTGAAGCTCATCCTGGAGTTGCTGTCATAGCAACAGGTCTGTAAGCTTAAAGCTCGGGAGCAGGCTTATTTCATGTAAACAGGATTTGATTGCATCTTTTTAAGACTTAAAAAGATACGATCTAAACCCGTTTACATGAAATAAGTAGCAGCCACCGATACTTTATTACAAGAGTATCCTACTGGTCCAGGGACAATAATTTAAAATAATAATAATTAAAAAATTAATTTGAAAATAATATTAGAATGTTGTGTAGTCTATATTACTATAGGCACAGCCAGTTTTACTTATTGAAAGATTTATTCATGATGAAATAATTACTTTATAATTGTTTTGGAGTCTTACATACATGCTATACATTTAATCTGAGTCGTGCATTTATTTGAGTGGTGACAGCTATTATGGGAGTGGCTTGATTTGAACGTAGAAGATACAGATAACAAATCTGTATCAAAAATCTGCTTCAAAGATAAAATTAAATGAATTGCTAATTACAACATTGAAATAAAAATGTAAAGCCTGTACGAATACTAGAAATCATGAATATAAATAATTGGGAATCATGTAAAAAATAAATAAACATAAAATAAAAACAGTGCACGTTTCCTTATAAAGATCCAGAAATTTGTCAAGTTTTTTGTCAGGTGTCTTTTTTAATTCTATGATGTTGCTGTCTTGTCGCCAGCCAATACCTGCATTGCTGATCGCACTTTCAAGTATCTATATATCTGCCCTTTTCGCGGAACACAAGAATGCACAGTAATCTCAGACAACTTAATCCAGATATTTTAATCAAATCTGCAATTTCGTTTTAAGAACCAAATTAGCCAGAGATCAGTTATCACGATTAAAAGATCTGGCATCTTTCAAATCATCTGAGCTGTATTAAGCGAGGTACGAAGAACGGACCCCAGGACACGCCTAAGAAAAATAGAACATATGGTCACCCTAAAATAAGTATATTAATGTCTGGTCTACTTACATGTGGGATTTCATCATTTATAGTGCTGTATATCACAGGATCTTCAGGTTTAGAGTAGATCTGCATTTCATACAATCACACAAAAAACAATAAAAACAGTAACATCAAGAAACCAAAATGACTGTAGGCTACATGTCCTGGAAATATGTGAGTGGCGTAAAGTATGTGTATAGTGTTGCATTCTTGTCAGAAATATTGTATGAAATAAGTCCAATAAATTCAATTAGCAGTTTGTTGGTCATAACTTTGTATTTATATTTCTGACATGACACAGCACACATCAAAGGGTTATTTCCTATGCAACAGGCCTGTGTAAAAATAAAATGCCTCTGATGAGCTGGTTCTTTTAATAGATCATTCTTATTATCTCATTGGTTACCATTTTAAATCAGTCCGACAAATGAAGTGGATAGAATAAACATAGGCTATGACTCGCTTTCTGAACTACCTGTTCCTTGGTCAACACAATGAAAATAGCTACAAGGAAGGCTGGACAAAAACAACAAATGCTTTTCTTTTCTCATATTTACTCTAAAACAATCTCTAGATTGATTAGAATGAAAAGGCTGTGTTATCAAAGAAGACAGAGTCTTGTATACTAAAAATGAACTGATAGGGCACATAACATAGGGGTTAAAGACACACATTAAGAAAAAATGTGCATTTATAATTAATAAGTCAAATGTGTGTTTTACCCCGGTGCGCCTTTAGCCCCGTTGAACCCTATATTATAATACCAACATTTTCACAACTTGCTTCTTATAAAGGACTTACCATGTCAGTGGTTCTGCTGCCGTTTCTCCCTCTGATTTGATGTTTATCTTGTTCTTCATTTTAAAAGAGAGGAAACAGTAATATCTGACATGAAAGGGGTCATATGATGTTGCTAAAAAGAACATTATGTTGTGTATTTGGTGTAATGCAATGTGTTTATGCAGTTTAAGGTATTTCTGCAAAGACAAAAAGGAGGAGAAAGGGAAGAATATCACCAGAGCAACGAGGAAATGACTGTTAGTCATGAAATAAACCAGAGACAAATATAGAATAATTTCACAAAGATTATTATAAAGGAAAGCCATTTACAGAGAACAGATTAAATACTAACACTTTGTCACTGACAGTGCCTGCGGACAAAAAAAAAAGTAAATTTAGTTGTGTTTTATTTCATATGTCGTATCAAAACTTTTTTCAAAAATTTATGATTTATTGAAAAATTTGTACCTGGTTCTGCCTCAGTTACAGTGAGATGAACAGGATTCAGTGCCTCTCCAGCAGAGCAGAAGTACCAGCCAGAATCAGTCCGTCTCAGTCCAGTCATCAGCACAGTGAAGGAGCTTCTCCCATCATCATCATCACTGATCTGGACTGATGAATTCTGGGATGTGTCAGCCCTCCCCACCGTGTAACAGCTCTGATCTTTATATCTGCACCACTGTTTGAGTTTATTCTGATATCTAGAACTGTAGAGACACTTAACACTGATATCACCACCTTCATGTCCAGATACACTGCTGCTCACCACAGACACATCAGGAGCTGAACACACACACACACACACACACACACACACACACCAGTCATTTGAGATTCTAAAATACATGAGGAATAAGAGAGAGAGTTTAAAATGAAGAGAATTGAACATTAGAATGAGATTAAAACAACTGCAAAATGTTTTACCAGATTGAATCTTGAGATAAGGCTCATATGTTATATTTATCGGTGGTTGTTCTCCGGTCTCCACAACACAATAATAATGTCCTTTGTGTTTGTTCTGCAGGTTTCTCATAGTCACAGTAAAGAGACTCTGATCAGGATGATCAATTACTGACAGATTCTCATCTGTTGTGTTTGTGTATGTATTAGATTTATCAATCTCTGAGAACCAGTATTTCTTCTGCTGTGTGTATTTCTTGTCATAATGACATGGGATGGTGACAGATCCTCCAGTCTGAATAGTTAATACATAGTTTGACCAACCGTCGTAGCTTTTAACACCTTAACAAACAACACACAAAATGTTATGTCCAACAATAAGTCACTTCACATAAAATCTTCACATAAAACAAATTAAAGCATGAACAGCTGAGCATAAAATCCGTCATTGCAAAATTCTAAACAGGATCTATTAGAGATTAACACAGCAATACATGTACTGTATACTCTCACCTAAAATGAGCCAAAACCAGATTGAAATGTAGAATGTGTTTGTCTTCGCATATGCGGTCATTGTGTTTCTCTTTCTGTATCTTGAGTTGTTCTGTTCTTGAGTATCTTGACTTCCCTCTTCCGATAATACTATTCAACCGGATAAAAGCTGTCACTGGGGCAGGACCTTTCAAGTTTATATATAGCATTTAGAAACTGTTATGGACACTTTAGGTACTAATACCTTCAAGGTACTAATATGCATTCTTTAGGAGTATAAATAGGTACCTTTGAAAGGATAGCCTATTGTCCCAGTAACTTTTGTCCTTTTTTCTGAATGTGGTAACGTATTAATTTGCATCTCTTTTGGATATAAAAATATATTTTACCAAACTTATACTTTTCTTCTGTTATCTTACGTTTTTATATCTCTGAATTTAAATTAATAACGTTTTCCATCTGTATGTTGTTGGCTAACACGAAAGTTTTGCCTTGGTTACAGTTAGCTGAACTGGAATCTGCAGATCTCTTATAGAGCAGCAGTACCAGCCAGAATCAGTCAGTCTCAGTCCAGTCATCAGCACAGTGAAGGATCTTCCCCCATCATCATCACTGATCTGGACTGATGAATTCTGGGATGTGTCAGTCCTCCCCACTGTGTAACAGCTCTGATCTTTATATCTGCACCACTGTTTGAGTTTATCCTGATATCCAGAACTGTAGAGACACTGAACACTGATATCACCACCTTCATGTCCAGATACACTGCTGCTCACCACAGACACATCAGGAGCTGAACACACACAGCAAAAACTTTTAGTTCTTGAACTTTGAAATATTTAATATTTCTACTGAATTATAAAACCACATTTCAATGTATAATAATAATACCAATAATAATAATAATAATAATAATGCACCAGAAATTTTTTTTTTTAGCTTGTTGAACAATTAAATACAAACGTTTTCTGTCATCAGGGTTTGCACGAGTGCCGATCTCCACAGCACACCAGTAATATCCAGAGTCTGAGGATGTTGGATTGTTGAGTTTCACAGTAAAAATATTGTTGGCTGGAGAATCAGTTATTGTCCATTTCCCTGTAGCATTTGCACGGGCTGTGATTCGGCAAGAAAACCAATACCCTTAACACCAGTATTTTGAGTTCACACTGAAAAAAATTATATGCTAGATTTACTTAAAAATATAGTGCATCATTTTTGCATCCCTCTTCTTAAGTACATTTCGCATGGAATTTTAAGCAGTGTTACCTAGAAATCTATAGTTGGCAATGCTTAAATGCTTGAGTATCCCAGTGAACGGTTTTGCTCAAATTTATTAGCTGGTGTAACACAATATTTTTAGTTCATACTAATAAATTTAAGTTATTTCTACAATAAAAGTCTTGTTCACCCCATTATAAATTTTATGCTCATTTAGATTGATAATGTTAAGTTTTTGTATTTTAAAATACTGCTAAATGACTAAATGTAATGTAATGTAAATGTAAAATATGCAAAGAAACAACAGCTGCTACACATGAACTCAGAAGAACAAGGTGGTTTATAAACACAAATATAAAACCTAGTTTTGAGGGTGGAATGTATTTTCTTTCTTACCTGCAGCAAACACTAAAACACCAATGAGAATCAGAGAACACCATTTTACGGACGTGTGAGTAAAAGACAGAAGCTGAAATTATGAAAAATGCCTCTGAGAATAATCAAAAATTAACCATTCTTGTACTCCTGATGTAATGGAAACTGTAGTCAGATGCTGTTTGTCACCCACGAGCTTACAGTAAAACTCTAGAAACAACACTTCCTAAAATAATGTGAGGTAGGCCTATCATAAAAATGCACGAAACACATAATAAGCTTATAAATGCATAAAAAAATGAAGGCCTTACTAAGAAGCTTAGTGACTGTTAATTTATCGTGTAAATGTTTTCAAAAAATATATTTTGCATACATTTAGTTATGCAACTACTTTCAACTTTAAGTACAGTTCTAAATGTCTTGTGGCTGCACTGGTTCCTGTAGCGTGCTAAACTTGCATTAAACTTAAAAAAAAAATGTGATAAAGTGCACAGTCAACCAAACAATCAACCACAAAACACTGAGTGATTAAGTCCAAAGCAACACTTCAACATTCGAGTCTCACTGACTTCCGCTCTATTTACAATGTTAATCGTGCGGAAATCAGCAGCAGAGTGCAGTGTGCAATACGTTTATACTGTACGGGCAGACCAGAAACACCAATGTGCAAATGAAAATCAAGAGGAAAGAGGAAAAAGTCAACTGCATGAGTGGATTCAGTGTTTGTGTATTTGTTAAATAAGCCAAAAATCTGCCCCCCCAAAAAAGTGGTGTGATAACATTTCACTGCTGCTGATTTTGTTTCTCTTGGTCAGAAGGGTCTGTTCCTGTGTTCTTCTCACTGTTGCTGTTGTTGTGGAGCCACAGTGCAGTATATTGTTCCAACTGCTGGAGGCCTCTGGAAGAGTGAGATCATTTCAAATTAATTGCCAGCAGTACCATAAACACATGATATGAAATGCCAATATTTCTGTAAAACCTACTGCTTCACTCCCAGAAACATTATCAATAGTACTGTAGGTGGTTATGTCCTTGTTGGCATCCTGTGGAGAAAGAGATTGTAAATATGCAGGATATATTCATGTCTGATATTTCATTATATCAGTGCATGTCTGGTCTACTTACATTTGGGGTTTCATCATTTATAGTGCTGTATATCACAGGGTATTCAGGTTTAGAGTAGATCTGAATTTCACACACAAAACAATACAGAAAAAAATATCAAGAAATTAACATATGACTCATTTAATACAGGTTCCATGGGTACTATGAGAAGTAAGGAGAAAAAAAATATTTTGCTCTAAAATATTTTTTTATTGGTTTTGATGATGACACCTCTCTAATGGCGCTTTTCCACTGCATGGTAGGGCACGGTACGGTTCACTTTTGGGGGGGTTTCCACTGGGTACAGTACCTGGTACTTTTTTTAGTACCACCTCTGTTGAGGTTCCAAGTGAACCGTGACATGTAAACTCTGCTGATCACGGATTGGCCGGAGAGAATCGTCACTACCTGCGTCACTGAACTTGCGACACAAACACAAAAGAACCGCTAGATTTAAATCAGCACAGCCAGCGAAGGATCGAACGCAACTGTTTTGAACGAGCGCACCTTTTTTTAACAACCAAAAAGT